CAGTTACTGTTTTGTCATGGCAGGCCACTACAGTATATCTCTAAAGAACACTTCTGCTTTACCATGACTGTTTAAAATTTTTGACTAACAATTTCTGTGATCAAATGAACATCTCAACTGCTTTAACCTTAAGAATGACTTCATCTCATCAGAAAAATATCTGTAATTTAATATTACTTTGTGTTGATTTATTCACTTTTTCCTTTTTTTTTTGTTCACCATATACAAACAATGTTATGTTATTGCATCATGTTATGCTTTGTTACTAAAGAGTACTTTTTTTATTCAAACAAACATGCGGGGACATCACTGTAAATAGTGCTTTAAAATAAAAGTAAATTTGCAAATTTTGAGAGATATTTTGATAACTTACTAGGATTTGGCTCTGCAAAGACTAAGATTAACAGATGTTTTACCCTTACAGTAACAGTACAGACCTACTGGACTTTGTGGTGCATGCCAAAAATTAGCAAACCTGAGAGTAATGTCAAGAACTTAATTAAGACAATTAATGGTTCTACAAAGATGAAAAATTTATCTGATGTCTGTCCTCACTATACAAACTTCAGTGAAAAAATAATTATTGTTAGCAAAATTTAATCACTTTTATATATGTAATGCTCACCACTTTAAGCTACTGATGGTGATTACAATTGTTTTACTTCGCTTTTAGCCGGGGAGCAAGGGACTCAAAGGGGAACCAGGACCTCTTGTAAGTACCTTTCAGACCACTTAAGCTTCATGTACTGGTACATGTAGAAGTCTACGTGCTAAATGCATTTTGACCATCCTGACCAACTACATTGTCCAGGTGGAACCAGAATGGATTTTTATGATGCTAAACAATACCAGTTTGTATCCCTCCATAAGCCCATGGAATGATCTAACATTATTTGAGAAGAAAAACATGTGTATGTCTCTTTGCATTGTTCTGCTTTGTTTCACACTTGGAGGGTTTGCAGAGGTGACTGATGATCTTTAATTACTAGCAGTGATCTCTTAAGATACAAAAGTCATTCAACAGTACAGGATAGATCTGTCCAATAAAGACACTGATTTGTCAAGTCAGGAACAAAATTGACATACTTGATCCAATACTCTGTTAAGTGCCATCAGAATTTGAGATTTAGCACCCCTGCTTATAGGTGCACAGATGCTAA